GGGACGGGGGAGGGGCCCGTGAGGTTCCCACGCGGCCCCGCGGGTTCACTGGGGCAGGGACCGTTGCTGGGGTTAGGCACTGCGTCATCTGAAGAGGACAGCAGTCAGGGAGTCTGGAGATGACCTTAGATGACTGCCCCTCCTCCCAGCACCTACACCTGACCCCAAGGTCAGAGACCTGTCCAGAACAGAGGGTAGCAGGCAGAGGCCTGAGAAACCGGAAGACCAGGCCCAGGCCTAGAGAGCAAGGAAAGAATGCTTGAACCCTGACCTAGTACCCACCTTGTGTGCACATCTGTTACTATTTAAAACTTCCGATATGGCGTGTATTATGAATTCTTTACATTAACACCCACACACACTTGAGACTGAATCCAGAAGCATCTACCACTGAGTTGCATTCCTAGCCCTTTTTATTTTTTGGTAAATTACTCAGGCTTAGTTGGACATGGTAGTTCACGTCTATAATCCTAGCATCGTGGGAGACTGAGGCAGGAGGATTACACATTTGAGCCCAGCCTGGACAATTAGCAATTTACTGAGACTCACTCTCAAAATTAAAAAAAAAAAAAAAATCGCTGAAGATGTAGCTCAGTGTGAAGGTCCTGGGTTCAATCCCCAGTACTGCAAAAAATAAAATAAAAATTACTCAGGCTGGCCCCAAACTTGCAATCCTCCTGCTTCAGCTTCTAGAGTAGCTGGGATTACAGGCACACACCATCCTTCCCCACTTAACTTTGAGATAGATATATATATATATATATTTATTTATTTATTTATTTTTAAGACAGGCTGGCTTTGAATTGTATATCCCAGGCCTTCCTGAAACTTATGATCCTCTTGCCTCAACCTCTGTAGTACCTGGGATTATAGACCTTTACCACCATGCTCTACTTCTGATTTTTGGTTGTTTTGAGACAGGGTCTCACTATGTAGTTGAGACTGACCTGGAACTCACTCCGTAGCCCAGGCTGGTCTTGAACTCACAGCGATCCTCCTGCCTCAGCCTCCTGAGTGCTGGGATTACAGGCATGCGTCACCACACCCGGCCATTTCTGATTTTTTTAAACACTGCGTTGAGGTTGAGCGTATAGCTCAGTGGTAGAGCACATCATTCCTTGCATGTAGAGGACCCTGGATTTGAGCCCCCAAACCGTAAAACAAAACATCGCATTAAAACTTATTTTGATTAAGGAGTTTTCCCAGCAACCTGTTCAGTTTGGCTTTTCAGGCCACTCCCAGCCTGGCTGTCCCTCATCCCAGCTCTGCCACAAGGAAACCCTCATGAGAGAGACAGAGGGTGGAGTGCCACCTGGGCTGGTCACCGGAATGTCAGGCACAGCCCTGGGTGCTTTGGGGCTCCCTCCCAGGATTTCCAGCAGGGGGCCCTGACACCCAGCACCCCATTCTTCCTGGGAGGCTGCCCAGGGTTATGGGTGCTGGCTGGGGCCTGCCCGGTGTGTGCCAGGCAGGCTTCTCTCCAACAACAACAAGCTTGGCTCTTGCCATCTGTTGAGTGGCAGGGAACCAGGCTCCCTGATCTGCCTGACCCTGTGGCTCCCTTTCACTACCAGCCCCCTGAGCACACAACTTGGACAAAGGCCACCAGCCTGGTGTGCCCGGCAGATCACTGTGACCACCAGCCTGCCGCCCCTACAGGGTCAGAGCCAGGAAGGAAGGTGGGAGAGGGCAGGGGGCCAAGGCAGAGGCGGGCAAGGGCTTGGAAAGGAAGAGCCAGAGGCCAGACAAACAGAAGGGTAGGAATCAGTGCTGGGGACAGCCAGGAGGCTACTCACAAACCAAGGGGCAGTGCCTAGAAAAATACCACCTACGCCAGTCTGCCTGCCCTGTTTTCTTAACACCCGAGGGAGCTGTGTGTCATCCCCAGGAAGCTGGAAAGTGAGTACGCCTGGCAGAGCCCACTGTGGGGGCCCAGGCCTCCTGGAGACAGGGTGTGGCTTCGCACCTCCTCCCTAGGCTGTTTCTACTGCTAATTGTTAATTAGTGACTGTGGCTTCTCCAGGGGCCATGGCCTTTGGGTACCGGATGGGGGGGGGCTGGATCGGATTTTCTTTCCTGAGGACCCGGGCAGATTTTGAGTCACTCTTTAACACTAAGAGCTGCTGTAGGAGGAACCCCCTCCCCAGTATACAGCCTAACCAAAACGATGTGTATGTTATTGGGGATTGAACACCAGGCATTCTCACTGAGCTGCATCCCCAGCGACACCCCCCCTTATTTTTTGTCTTGTGACAGGGTCTCACTAAGTTGCTAAGTTACCCAGACTGGACCCTGGGCTCCCCATCCTCCTGACTCAGCCTCTGAGAGAGTGCTTAGATTACAGGCCTGCACCACCATGCCCGGCTCACAGGAAGGAATGCTGCTCCTCCATCTGAGGTAGGCGGTGGACCACTCCTCAGCAGCCAACTTCCCTGCCCCCAAGCGACAAGGATGTGCAGAGTAACCGCGGGCGGGGCCGCGTGGGTGGACAGAAAAAGGGTCCACGAAGGATGTGGGCTCTTCCGGGCCTTGTGTCAGCTCACCCCCAGCTGTGGCCTCGGGTTTTCCCAACCAAAACAAGGAGACCTGTGTCTCTGCCCCCTGCACACACACACACACACACTCACACACACACACACACACACACAAGCTCGCTCGCACGCAGAGCCCTGGGTGGCCTGGAGGCAGGGTGTGGGTGGTGGTCTGTCTGGGTCTGAGAGTACAGACCACCACGCAGGATGTGGAGCAGCTAAATCAGGGGACTCCACGCGGGATGGGGGTGCAGGAGCGTCCTGGAAGGGAAACGGGGCGTCTGAAAAGGAGTGATGAAAAGGGGGCGCTGGGGAGAGGAGAGATGGGGTGCTGGGACAGTGCTGGATGACGGGACGCTTG